CCCCCCGGTGATTTCTCACTTTCTGTCTCTCTGTCTGTATCTTTCTGGTTAGTGCATGTACCCTATAGCAAAAACCTCTCCAAAAAATAAAAAAAAGAAATTTTGCTAGAGGGCACATGTTTGTGGGGAGAGAGAGAAAAGGAAAGTGAGAAAATACCCCCCCCCATGGCATATGGTCACACCACAATCCCTTCTCCTGCATTTCTCCCTTTGGGATTTTGGGCACACATACATGCTCAAAGTTCTTCAAGTCACTGGGTCCAGGACTTGAACCTTGCTATCAGCTATGTGGGATCCAGTGCCTTTACCACCATGTCACAGGCTGGATCCATCTTAATCTTTATCTTTCATTCCAGGGAGAGCCACGAGGGGAAGAGCTGATGGAAACAGACATGGGAACAGTAGAGCCCAAGAAAGAGGTATTCTCCAACTTACTTGAGTGAAAATAATAGATATTGTTTATTGAGCACTTACTCCCTGCCTTTACTGCTTAGCGCTTTTTGCAAGTGGCTCACAGGTGAGCAAACAAAAGCACAGGGAGACTGAGGAACTTGCTTCAGGCTGTGCAGGGATTTGAAACTGGCCCAGCAGTGGGTTAAGCTGGGCTCCTGGAGTCAGACTTCCTGTATCTGGTTCTTTGCGAATGACCTTTAGTCTCTTTCCAGATCTGTAAGCCAGGGGTAAGGACAGCCTTATTCTAGTAGGGCCATGGAGAGGATTCCCCGGGGCGCACATGTGGATGCTCTCAGCATCTGGGAAATTGTAAGCGCTCCTTAGATGTCAGTCGTTCTTATTAAACGGTTCATGCGACAGCCTCTGTTCTTTCTCGGCATCTGAATCATATGTGACTTGCCATGCAGCGGGGCTCAGAAATCAGGTTGTGGGTGCCTGCCTGCTCCCTGCTGGGCAGGACGGTGAGCGAAGAGTCCTCCCTAGTTCCCAGGGTGGAGCTGGGCAACACTCAGGGGTTCTGTGGTCCTCCCCTCCAGCCTCCTCATTGGTTTACTCCACCTGGGATGGGATAGGGGACATGGGGATAGGGCCACTACCTTGAGTGGGGCTGGAATCTGGGCCCCTTCCCTTGGCAGAGAGGCGGGAGGAAGATGGGCTATTGCGTAGAGGGGAGAGGTCTGGGGATTTCCTAGAAGACTGGGGAGGGGGCTGAGGGTTGCTATGGGCAGGAGCCCCAGGCCAGCCTTCCTTCCTGGCAACCACCTGTTGCAAGGCCTGGCCAGTCCTCTCTCCCCTCCCTTCCCTCTCTGCCGAGTCCTCCTGTCCCTGAGCATCCACACCTCAGCCTTCCCTCACTGCGTGCCTGGACCTCAGCCTGCCCTGCCTGGTGACCTTTACCTGCAGACACGAAGAAGATGCCGGCACTCAGGATGATGTTGTGTCGAGTCTTGTAGAACTCGCTGGCTGCGATGCAGAGTCCTCCCATGAAGAGCAGAATCACACTCAGGATCGGGAAAATGCTCGAGGCCCTCACAGCCCCTGCGGGATACAGAGGGTCAGGGAGAGAGCGGTGGCATGACTGTGAGGCCTAGGGGTGTAGGGGTGGAGACAAGAGCAGCCCCTGGGAGCTGGTTTGTGAACGCAGAGTCCAGGTTGCTTAGCAACACCAGGGAGGGAGAGCGGCTGACCAGTCACTGCCCAGCTGCCAGCCCTTCAGGGGTTCCCTGCTGCCCCAGGAGCCAATCCAGCACCTCTTCTGACACTCAGGGCCTGTGTGACTTGGCCTCTGTCCCCGCCCCAGCCTCATGCTTTCGGGTCCCCAGCTTTCTCTTGCCCAGCCACAGCCAACCTCCGGTGACATCACTTCTCGCTGCTGACTTTTGATATACTGAGCTTTCTAACTAAAATGTCTTTCCCGCTTTTCACTCAACCAACTTCTATTCATCCTTCAAAACCCAACTCAAAGTTTCCTCTTCTGTGAAACCTTCTGTGACTTCCTTAGGCGAAGTTTTTAACCCTTTCCTTGGCACTTCCGGGCATTTGGGCACGTTGAGAGCTGCGTGAAGTAACAGTGGTTAGGTGGGACCAGTGCCTGGGTTTTAAACCTGGCTCGTCTTCATAGTCTGTGAAAGTGTGGGGACATTATCTCACCACTCCGTGCCTCAGTCTCTGGCCTGTAAAATAGAGGGTAACAGTGCCTGGCTCCTGGGATTGCTGGGAGAATTAAGTATGTTGATCCAGGTAGAGTACTTAGATAAGTTTTGGGGGTTTCCTCTATTTATTTTCTCAGTCCCCAGCACCTCAGGGCCAAGGACACAGTAGACCCAAGGACAAGTTTGCTGAGTGAATAGAGGCGAAGTAGTCCAGAGGAGGACGATGCAGGCACACTGCAAAGAGGCAGTGAGACACATTTAAAAAAAGCCTTCAGGGTAGGGTAGAGGAAAGGATGGGCTAACCGGGGAGCAGAAGAATATTTTAATGAGGAGAGAGGGAAGGGCAGAGGGGAAGGGGGCAGCTCCTGTAGGGGAGGATGGGAGGGCAGAGACGAGTCGGGCCAGGGTAGTGCGGGGCTGGGTGTATTTGTGGAGAGAGCAGTGTCCAGTGAGGACCAGAGGTGTGGGCTTCTCCACAGAGTGTCCCTGCAAAGTAAAATACGTATTTTTCTATCCAAATTTGAAGAGGCGGCAGGTGACATCAGGACCCTGACTCCCTGTCCTGGGAGCCGCGGGCCAGGCAGGAGGCAAGGCCATCCGGAGGCTAGACAGCACAGAGGAGGAAGAAAGGGTTCTTTAAATGTGTGCTGGCTTACGTGACTCCTAAGGAGGCTGAGTCCTGTTAGCCACAGGCCGTTTGGCCATGCCAGAGAATGGTTGGGGAGGTGTGTTTGTAGAGGGAAGAGACCAGGAGTCGAGCCTGGTCCACCCTATCCCTACTCCTTTGGGTGGCCAAGAAGGATCTATGGGAGAGAATCATTCTATGTGGCACGTTGGGGCCTTTTCTAGCAGGGTTTTAGCAGTGTGCTCAGATGTGATGTGAAGGGCCTTCCTCTGTCTCCCCGTGGGCCTGCACTGAAGTCTGCTGCTCACTGATGCTGTGGGCAAGTGGGTTATTTGGGGACTCTGAAAGAAGACACTGTATCCAGCTTGGCATGCCTGGGGCAGAACCAAGCTGCTGCTATGGAAGCAGGGACCAGAGGATAAGGGTGAGGATAAGGATGAGGGCATGGGGGAGCTGCAGTCTGCACTCGGGCTGCCCCCTCCCCAAGCCCTGGTGGGATGTTCTCCCCCCCAAAATCATCCTTCCCGTCCCTTCTCTTCCTTTCTTTGTAATTTTTAATTTTGTCAAAGGGTGCCTGTGCTTGTGGGAGAGGGGAGAAAGTGGGAAAGCACCCATTGTGGGAATGGCCACGTCACACCCCTTCATTCAGGACTTTGGGCATGCATTCACACTTGCCTGCTGTGTTTATCGGTCACTGGGTCCAGGACTTGAACTACACAGTTGGCTATGTAGGGTCCAGCCTCCTTAACCACCATGCCAGGGGTTTGGCCCTCCCTGCAAATCATTTCTAAGACAGTGCACCCAACCTCTGCTTTATCCCCCAGCCCAAATACACCCACACACATACGTATGTGTGCAGATACACCCAACTAAAAGATACCCTAGTTCTCATCTTTATAAGCATGTGGAGGTGGTGAGAGCTTATTGAAGACCCAGGAGAAGGAGATGCTATTTGTTAAGCCCCCACCCTGCCTGGTCTCCAGTGGGCCTTAACATTCCAGTCATGCACTGTGTAACGTTTCTGTCCATCATGGGCTGCATAGACCATGGGGTCCTGTAAGAATAGACTGTGGGGCTGGCTGGTGGTGCAGCAGCAGATGCAGTGCCTGCAAGGCACACACACCTGGGAAGGTCCTGGGTTCACGTCTGGAGACTTCCCTGTTACTTCCTGTGGTCTGAAGGCTGAAAATGGGGGAAGCGGATCCTGGTATGAGAACGCTGTTAGGGATGCTGTCTGTCTCTCGTTCTCACTCATGGAATAAATAAATAAATTTAAAAAAGAATATACCAGGAAGCCTAGGTGTATGGTAGGCTAGGTTTGTGTAGGACACTCTGACGTTTGCACAATGACAAAGTGACCTAATGACGCATTTCTCAGACTATACCCCATTGTTAAGCAGCTTATGACTCAATTATAATTTCTTCTCTGTAACAGCCTGGAGCCCCCCTCTCTTGCCTCCAGATTTACAGGAAAGAAGACTGAGGTTCACAGATGTAAAGAAACTTGCGACCCAGCTAGTGAGACAGATTCAAATCCAGACCAGCTCAACTTTTAGACCACCCTGTGCTTTCCCTGTGTGACTTCCAAGGAGCCTGGGAAGGGTGCCATAAAGTCTGGAGAGCTGGATTTGGGTTCCCGCCAAGCCACTCACATGCTGTGTGGCTACAGCGAGTACCTCACCTTCTCTGGTTTTCCCATGTGTGAAATGGAGAGTGATCTGTGGAATGATTTCTAATGGGTCTGCCCTCTCTGTGTGGATGTGGTTTCTGACCAGCCTGAAAGGGGAATGACAGGAAAAAGGAGAGGAGAGGAGAGGAGAGAAGAGGAGAGGGGAGGAGAGCGGAGGGCGTTGTGACTTTCAAGGAGCAGCAGCAGCAGCTCAGATGAGCACAACAGAGGAAGGGCCCTGACCTTTTCCTTCTGGGAAAGTGGGCTCTTCCTGCCTGCAGTGCGCCTGCAGTTGTCAGGCCTGGAACGCACCGTCAGCGCCAATGGCCTCACACTGGGATGTTTTTGGCTCAGCACTGTCTGTGGTGGGAACCAGATGCTGCCATTCAGCACTCCCGCCAGCAGAGAGCGGGAGGGAGCACAGGCTGCAGAGGGAGCTGAGCTGCTGTCCGTGTGCATGCATGTGTACACATGTGTGTGCCGTGAGAGCCCAGACTTGTGTGGACAAGATGGACGGATGCAAAAGGGAGAGGTCTGGTATGTCACCACCAGCAAAGAATGTGAGGAAACATGCATCTGAAGCCACTTAGGATATGCTCTGAATAATGGCGACCAGCGGGGAACACAAACAGAAGCACTTTGGCCCTGCAGAGCCAACCCAAACACCAACTTCTCCTGAAAGAGGCTTCCCTGCCCAGAAAGCAGGGGCTGCCAGTTAACAGCACCATGCCTAGGAGGCTAGATTTTGCAGGGCCCCATCTAGTCTGGGAGGAGACTGGCTCAGGGCAAGCAGGGGTTCCTGAACTGGAGAAGTCTCTGGAACAAGGACTTTCTATTGGGCGGTGTCGCAGACTGAATGGGGAGTTGGGAGTTAATCACAGCTGAGCTTGGATCCTGGCTCTGCCACTTCCCAGCTGTGGGGTCTGTGGTAAGAGTCTTTACCTCCCTAAGCCTCAGTTTCCTCACCCTGTGAAATGGTAATAACTGAGCCACAGGAATGTCGTAAGGCCTTGCTGCTCTGAGTGCAGTCTGAGAGTGAGTGTAGGCATCCTGGGGCAGGGGAGGCTTGTTAGAAGTGCAGTCTCGGGCCAGCAGGTGGCACAGAGTTTAAGGCGACTGGATCCCACATGGGCAACTGCACAGTTTGAGTCCCAGACCCGGCAGGTTGGAAATTATGCCAGGCACGTGTGTGTGCTCAAAATCCCAAGAGGAGAATGGAGAGAAGGATTTGGATGTGGCCACACCCTGAGGGGCGATTTATCGCTTTTGCTGTCCCTTTCTCTCTCTTTCTTTGGCCAGTGCATGATAGCAAAACTGAAAAAAAAAAAAAGGGCAGCCTTAAGTCCCAGTCTAGTCCTATTTTTTTTTTTTTTGTCTTTGAGAGGTTTTTCACTATAGGGCGCGTGCGCTCACCACAC